AGGAGTTCAACTGCCGCTGCGTGAATGCGCCAGGAGAACAATGGGCAAGCATGCGTGAGCTCACATGAAACCTGCGCTGCAAAATTGACCCAACAAGCTTAACGGTAAGATTACGGCTGCAAAATAAAAAACAATGATTCCCAGATACGTTTTTATTCAATGACCATGCCCTCATCTCTGCACGTTGAACGCTTTCGTCTTGAACACTCTCTTCTTTTTTGGGCAAGTACAAATTGACCTTCAAAATATCCTGTGAAATTCAGCGGCAGCCACACCTTTGCACAGAATCAAACTGTAAAGACGCACCTCTCTTAGTACGTTATTAGTACTTGTTTTTTTTTCCTCATTTTGTCGTGTTATTTTTATTCTCACAAGTCTTGGGATTGACTGAGCTAACCCGGGACCTCGGGGGATCGCATTTCCAGCCAAATCGTGGAAATGTGTCAGTCAATCATTGGACAAAATTGTATTTTGCATTAAAGTGTATTACAAAACCATTTCTTTCCTGATTACTGTTTACAAAGTGTTACGCCGTTCTTTTTCAGTTTCAGCCTTCACGACAGTGAGATTTGCTTCCGTTTACCAGACGTGTTTTTAGACCATGTGCGCCGTGCCTCCGGAAGTACAACAATGTACCGAGTCGGTCGTGTTGCTAAGCAACGGACGGGAATCCCGCGCTGTACATTATTTTTCGTAAGCAAGGTCGCGGCGGCAATTCGCTTCCCAAGGTTGGTTGTCACGAAGGCCTTTTCACTGTTTTGTGGGGAAATATCTGGTCGTTAACATGAAGCAGACGTTATACAAGATGTCCGTCGCAAGCAAAATCGGCAAATGGAAAAGGAATGACGTGAAATCGGGACTTGTGAACGTTGTAAAGCGGGTACGCTGAAAAGAGGTTCGACTGTAGAACTTGCCAAGCCCCATCTCGGCATTCAGAACTGCACTCGCTCTCGAGACATTGGCACATTTCTTGATAAATATATGATGCGATCAGATATGCTGTTTCTCTTCAATTAATTAAATAAAGCCGCTATAAGGCGTTACATCACTGATTGTAGTGTGTGGAGGCTCACTCGGGCACGTAGGTGTCTGATGTTTGCAGATCTGACACTCGGCGGAGTCCGTGAGCATCTGTGTTTACACTGTCAAGTCCCGAGATAGTCTGAGTTGACGCTCTTGTAGTATTCTCTGCGGAGACGTGTGCGAGTATGTGTGTGAGTCTTTACCTGGATTGGATTAACTGGTTTACGAAGCGGGGGGGAAGGATGGGAGCGCTTGTTGATTTGTATCCTAAACTGAATGTGTTTGCGACCACGGGAACCTTCAACCAAAATTTTGCCTCAGCTGAATAGTGTCATTTTGTGGTCAGAGATTTCCATTCCCACCTCCACTTTGTCCGATAACGACAACAATATCTCTGACCGACCTCACCTTTGCACAAGGCCGACTTTGGGCCACAGACGCGGAACATACTGCGAATGAACATCAGAACCAATTCGAGCACCTTCTCGAGATTACAGCTGTCAATCTTCGTCAAGTCAAATTGCCAACCGTGACGGTTTTTTTATTCTTTCATGGCGACGTCGACGGTGACGGACCGGCGGGTGTGAGTCAGACGGGGGAGAGAGTGCGCGCTAATGACAGGATAGAATGGCCCCGGCGTGTGTTGTCGTGGCGACAGGCGCCATGGTTATACGACAAGGGGGAAATGGGCGGGTGGAGGTGCAGGCAGACCCTCGGGAGGAAGATAAACAGCAGAATAGGGAATATCCTTCGGAAAACGCTGCTTAAGAACGTGAATGTTTGACAAGAAACTGAAAACAAACATAGAAATCTGTTTTACACAAGAACGATGAAGGAAGACTTTCGGGGACATTTGCCTCAGCGGCTGACTCG